TCTGCTCTGCAGCGCCCCTATCCGCTCCTCTCTCTGCTCTGTGGTGCCCCACTCTGCTCCCCTCTCTGCTCTGCGGCGCCCCTCTCCGCGCCTCTCCTTTGCAGCGCCCCATTCCACGCCACTCTGCTCTGCAGCGCCCCACTCCACTCCACTCTTTGCTCTGCATCGCCCCACTGCTCTGACATCTCTCTTCTCTCTCACGGAGAGGTGGGAGAGAGCGGAGTGCAACTTGCCTTGCCTTCTCCCTCTGTGCTGCGGTCCATCTTGTCTCTGTCACTGTGGTTGTCTCTCCACTTTCATGGGTTCCAGTCTTTCCTCCAGGTTCTCACTGAGCCCCAGGGCTCACCCCTCTCTTTCTCTTTTCTTCCCCAGTGTTATTCTTCAGAATCTGGATTCCAGATATTAGAGAGGTTATTATGTTGCTTAGTGTTCCTTATTTGTATTTTCTGTTTTGAGACTAGTTCTCACCGAGTCGCTGAATTGCCCAGCATGCTCGGCGTGAGCTTGCAGTCCTCCTGCCTGTGCTCCAGAGTGCTGGGATTGCAGCCATCTACCACCGTGCAGAGTCCTGGCTTGTGATGGCTCTGCATAAGATGTTTTGACTTTATGATGCTGTGGAAATTATAGACATTCAGTAGAAACTGTATATTGAGTTTTCAGTTCTGGTTTTTCCCTGGGCAAGCAGCTCATGATGTTTTCTGGTAGGGCTGGCAGGCAGCAGGGGCACTCCCCGCTGGCTGCCAGGGGCCAGCGGTGCCGCCCGTGCTGCTCAGGCCCCATGGCAAGTGGGGGACGGAAGGTGGGTTAATGAGGACCGAGCACCCTGTGGGAGAGAATCTGTGGGGTCCCAAGGAGGGAGTAACTGTTCCATAGCTGTCATTGCCCTCAGCTTCTGAGTTGGAGCCCTTGATTATGAGCTGTAACTCAGAATAAACACCACAACTGCGTTTTCAAACATATTTTAAAATTTAACCCCTATAAAATGCTTGCCGCAAGGTTTCCAATTTCCTGCAATGCAAAGATTGTAGATGGGTCGATTTCAGTACTCACTGCAGTAATATTTAACCACAACTCCCTCAGTGATTGAGCAAGCAGAGAAGCCACGGTCGCTGGCCCTCACAAGCATGCATGCACGGGGACCCAGGGATTTGCTTTTGGGGCAGTGCTGCTTCTTGTGGTGTTTGTGGCATCGCAGTAACCACCAGCCTGCTTCTCAGGGCAGAGATGTGCTTCCTCGGCCTGTGCAGGCTGCGCAGTTCTACTACGTGGACTCCTTCATCCTGCTGTCCTGTGGCCCAGAGCTGTGGCTGCTGAAGTATCACCTGGACACGCGCAAAGATGAGCTGCAAAGGTGGACCTCCTGCTGCGCGCGCTTCCCACGGGCTCAGTGGCGGGAGGGGAAGAAGGCTGGTGCTTAGTCCTGCTACCTGTCATTGAGTGCCACCCTGGGTCCCTGTGAGGCGAGTGCCATGGCCGAGTAGCCTGGCTTCTGTGTATGCCACGCGTTCCGATTTACCCCATGAAGGGACCCCTGGTGTGGAGTGGGCTATGGGGCTTAAGGACCCTGAGTTATTGCTTCAGAATAGACTTGGCTGGCATGGGAGCAATTCTTGTTTACTAAAAAGTTAAAAGTATCATTATACACACAGACACACACACACAGAGAAAATAATGGTATTTTTATGTACATCAAACTTGGAGAAATACTCACACTTTGCTATTTTCATTTTCAAAATTTTTATTTATTTTTATTTATTTATTTATTTTTGTGGTACCAGGGATTGAACTCAGCACCTTCACTTGCCAGGCAAGTGCTTATTCTACTTAGCTATCTCCCTGGCCCCTCATTTTCAAAAAATTTTTTTTATGAATAAACAATTACATATTTTTACACAGAAATTTAGAAATTGAACCATATACAGCATTGTAGCAGAACAGTCCTGTGACTTTTTTTTTCTTGTGTCCTTTTTTTCATTTATTACCCATTTAAAAAAAAAAACACAACACTTTTACTTGAGACACAGTATGGTAATAATTGGTATGTCGTGACAAGAAGTACGTATTTAGAAGACCAGAGTGACAGGCATTCCAAGCGTGACCCTGATATTACACATTGCTCTCTTCAGGTATCAGCATATATAGTTAGTCAGGGTGAGAATCCTACCAATTAACTGCTAGTTTCAGAAACCTGCTGGTGTTTCTCAGGATCATTGCCTTGCCCATCTTGTGCATATAAATGTATGGCTTTGCCCCTGTCTTGTTTCCCAGATTTTCTCCTTGCCCTCTCCTATTGTCCAATCCTCAAGTTCTTGCTTTCCTTTTAATTGTGTTATACATTTCTATTTGTATTTCTTCTCTTGAGTTCTTATACTAGGGAAACTATATGATATTTACACACGTGGGTCTGGTTTATTTCACTTATGAGCATATCTTCAAGTGGCATCCACTTCAATATAAAGGCTTCGAGTTTATCATTCTTTATAGCTGAGTAATACTCCATTGTATAAAAATACCACATTTTTTTCAACCATTCCTCATGTGACGGGCATCTTGGTTGTTTCCAAGATTTGGCTATCACAAATTGTGCTGCTATAAACATAGGTACACATATATCACTATGATATGACTTTTTTTTGTGGTACCGGGGATTGAACTCAGGACCTTCACTTGCCAGGCAAGTGCTTGTTCTACTGAGCTATCTCCCTGGCCCCTCATTTTCAAAATTTTTAAAGAAAATATTTGTAGGGTATCAGAGACCTCAACCTATTGAAACTGTTGCATCTGCCTCCCTTGCTGGGTCTCGTGTGCCCGGCTGGGGCCACCTGTTCAGGCAAGCAGAGCATGCTTAGCACACGCTGGCGGGTTGCCGAGATGCCTGACTGCAGGGCTGTCCCTGCCCACAGGTCTTCTGCAGCGAGTGCTATCCAGCCATCTGTCCTTGCCCTGATGGATGTGGTGCTGGCTGGGACTTCCTGTTGGGGGTGTGAAGGGCAAGTGCCGACCCCTCTCAGATCCAGCCGGTGGGGTGAGGTATCTTAGTTACTCATGGCTGGGACCAAAGTACTTGATACCCACAAGTTGAGGGAGGCAAGGTTGACTTTAGCTCACCATTTGTAGAGGTTTCAGTCCATGACTTCATGGTCCCAATGCAGGGTGGCGTGGCGGTGGGGTATGGCAGAGGAGGCACAGTTCATGGCATGGCAGGCTGAAGGCAGGAAGCAGTGAAGCTCCATCTCCCTCTGTGTGTCATTCAGCCTACATGCCAATTGGGTGCCACCCACACCAAGGGTGTGCCTTGCTGTCATCCAGACCAGAAGAACAGTAAGCCAATCAGTGGACTACTCCAGCCGTCACGTACCTATAATCTGGTATCATGCCCGTGGTCTTGCCACCTCGCAGAGCCCTGCCTGTAATCACCGTCTGGACCTCTAACAGCTCCGGGCCTGTGCTGAGGGCTGGCCATTGCCTGGCAGGTGGCTCCCCTTGCTTGCTTTCTCATTGTGCCCATTGTGTCATTTTTCTTTTGACCAAAACCCACAGATAGGCTTGCCTCTCACACCCTGAAGATCTGTAGGCAGAAAGCCCTGGCTTTTCCTGCTATTTGTCAGATCTTGATTTTAAGGTCAGCGCCATGTTCTTGTTTCCACATAGCTCGACTGGAGAGGGGACCTTCAGACCCAGAGGAGCTCCGGGCAGCACACGGGGCTGAAGGACTGCCGAGGGGGGGTGGGCCCTGCTGCCCTGGGGGTCTGGGTAGGGCGGGGCGGGGCTTGGTCTGGCTGCCTCTGCTCTTGGTGGCTGCATCACTGTCCTAGAGCAGTTGCTGCTAGAGCACTCTGAGCCCTCCGTAGGTGGGAACAGGACCCAAGTGAGCTCATATCCCAGAAGCTCATATTCCTCCCACCTGTCCCATCTCATCAATCCTATCCCATTCCATCCATCCATCCATCCATCCATCCATCCATCCATCCATCCACACACACATCCATCCATCCTAATCCACTTATCCTACCTCATTTATTCCAGTCCATCTATTCCATCCGTCTCATCCATCCACTCCACCTGTCCCCTCTTATCCATCCTACTCATCCAGCTCATTTCATCCATCCTATCTATCCCATGTCATCCCATCCCCTCTTATCCCATTCTACCCATCCTGTCCCATCCCCACCCCAACCCATCCCATCCGATCCCATCCCATCCCATCTCACCCCATCCCATGCCATCCCATTCCACCACATCCCACCCCATCCCATCTCATCCCATCCCATCCCATCCCCTCTTATCCCATCCCACCCCACCCCACCCCATCCCACCCCACCTCATCCTATCCCATTGCATCCCCTCTTATCCCATCCCATCCTCTCTTATCCCATCCCATCCCCTCTTATCCCACTCCCCCACCCCCACCCCTTCCCATCACATCCCCTTTTATCCCATCCCATCCATCCCATCCCATCCCATCCCATCCCATCCCATCCCATCCCATCCCATCCATTTCTTGCATCCTTACCATCATCCATCCTATTCTACTCATGCTGTTCTTCACATCCCATCCATTCTTCTATTCCTCTATCCATCGCATCCTCTCTGACTAGCTGGACATTGTAGTGTATGTGGTGACCTAACACAAGTTTTCTCAGTGGAGTGAGCTGAGGTGACGCTGCTCAGCTGTTTCACCTGGTGGACTTGGGGTAGCAATCAAAGACTGCAACCCAGTAGTGACAGAGAAATAGAAAACATTGATCTGGGATTAAAAAGTGTTATATCTCCAGTTTCTAAAGATCATTCAGCAAAATGAGCATGCTTATTTACCACTCCTGGGCCTTCTCCTGCCCTGTGCTCCTAGAGGAATTCACGGGCTGTGACTTGCCGTCTGCTGTTCCTCTCGCTGTCTTTCTGAAGACAGTTTCTCAGCTGAGCAGTTCCTGATTTTATTCACCTTTTCAAAGTTAGCAGCTGCTTTCTGCTCTCTTAGTCACCTTATATATAACTTGAAGCAGCTTTCACTCTGGTAATTTGTGTAACTGCATCTTGTCCCTGGACACTTATTCCCAAGCCTCCCTTAAGGTCTCCTCATTTATGTGGTCTCTCTGTCTCCTTGTTTATATGTGACATTCTTTTTTGGGCCCTTGGAAGCCCTGATGCCTGTCCCAGGACTCTTGACCTAGGTCTTGTCCCTGGACCACTTTCCTCCGTATTGCCTTTCTGTGTTCCTGAGGGTGGTGTCCTTCTTCTGGGCGGCATGGTGCTCATCGGCCTGGCTTCTCCATGCCGCTGCTCTGGGCCTCTCTGCGACATCCTGAACATTTGGTCCTCTACTCTCCGCACTGGAAAGACTACTTCCTGGGATTTCCAGCCGGTTACTTTCCTCTGGGAAATTATTTTTAGAGATTAAGACCACAAATTTGATAAACCATTGCTCACTGCTTCCATTATCCTTCAGAAAACAGTAAGAAGTTGATCATAAGTGGCATTCACAACTGGTTGGCTATATCCTCAAGTATACATATTTTTTTTAGAATTAGGGGGCACATTTGCTTCCTCAAAGTTGGGAATGAGTCATTTTTGGCTATATAATATTATTGCCATAAAGTTTCTTTAAAGGTAAAACAATAATTTCCTAGTGGAAATTAATATTTTTTCCTCAAGGAAAAGTAAGCTATCCAATCCATTTATTCCACCTATCCAATCCTCATATTATAAAATATGAATTACTAAACTAATAGGAAAACTTCATTTTCACTTTTAAGCTTTTAAAAGGTAGGATGTTTAGTTGTAATGGAAGAGAGGACAAAGCCCAAAATTGGTTCTTCTGTGTTTTCTTTACAGGTATAAACTGAAAAGCAGTTATAAGGTCGTTTACCGGGTCTCTCTGTCAAATGCAGCCGATGTGACCAGTTTGTCAGCAGTGAATGGCTTCTATTCCTGTATCCTTGCTCCCTGGTCCTTCCTGTGTGTGACATATTGAGGGCTATTCTTCTGGCAAAGTGTCACTCAGTGTCAGATCAGCTTTCAGTGGTGCTGGGTACTGGTAACACGGAGCCCCAGGCCTCCTGCAGCCATCACACATGCAAGACCTTCACCTTGACCATGGGGACATAAGCTGAGTTATGACCTCTGGCTCACCACCAGGGTGAGCTGTCCAGACATCTCCATCTTTTACTGAAAGTGTGGAGCAATTCAGTGCATTTTCTTGCTAAACTGTCCATACTTACATTAGTTACTTGAGCAGTTAATCCATCTCAGGAAGGACTGAAAGAAATGATAGCAGTTGCTATTCAACAGAATGTGAAACAGAGTCCAAAACTTGAATGTTGTGTGGCTAATCAGTTTCAGTTTTAAAAAATTTAGTTTGTTTAGATGCAAAGCTCTTAATTTTAGGAACTGATTTCATAAATTTCATTTTCTGTATTTAGGACAGGATCTCCAGGGTCTCCAGGGTCTCACTGTGTAATCAGACGTGTAGTGATGCTCATGTATTCAGCCTCCCACTTGCTAGGATTACAGGCTCGTGCCACCACGCCCAGCCTCAGTCACCGTCTCAGCGTGCCCCGCGGGTGGGGCCTGCACAGCATGCTGGGGATTGAACCCGGCCGCTGTGCTCTGCCTAAGCAGGTGCTTTAGTCTGCTGAGCTATCAGGCCAGCCTGATTTCGTAAAATTTTAATGTATTTAAAACAGGTGTGCGTTGAATTCTACTGAAGAGTTATAGTTAAGTTTTTTTTTGTGGAAACGTGGATTGAACTCAGGCCCTTGTGCTTGCCAGGCAAGCACTTATTTTACTGAGCCATCTCCCTGGCCCCTATAGTTAAAATTTTGAAGAACATAAAATGTTATAAGGTCCTGCACATTTTAGTTAGAAATGTGGATTTTGAGTACTAGGATCGTTTGAAAAGAAAAGTCCACTTGACAGAACTGAATCACTATATGTATTCAAAATTGAGTTACCATTTTCACATGTTCTAGTGTCGGCACTGTGTGTACTACTGCACCAGGAGTCCTGCAGGCAGATGCGCACCCTCCGCTGTACAGGCCTGAACCCTGGCTGGTGTGTACTCGGGGTGGCCCATGTCTCCAGAGTTTATAAGTTGTTCCTTACACATCAGCATGTGTTGTACAAAGTGTGGTACAGTTTCCTGAAGCTATGCCACTTTGTGTCACCTCGTGCAGCCAGCTCTGAGCTGGGCCGTCCCCTCTGTGGCTTCATTGACCTTATCTTTGCCTCTGACAGTCTACATTTCAACAGCTGGTTGGTATCTTGATTTGGCTCTCAGCAGCTGTCTCTCGCTCTGCTGCCCACGTTGGCTGCTTGGCACTGGGACCCCACTCACCTGATGCCCCTTTTTCTACTCACCTCTACATGCTCTTGCCAGATACATGGGAGCCAGATGGGCGGAGCCAGGCTGGCCGGTTCCTGTGTAACACCAGAAATTCTTCACTAATCACTCACTTCTGGGCCTTGTGGTGTTCCAGGGCCTAGTAGTATAACAAATGAGTCTGTCTGGTCTGTTTCTCCTGGGAACGATCATGGGGAAGAGTTCCCTAACTGGATTGTTTGCAGACATTGCGCTCACAGCTGGCCGGGACAGGACTTTGGAAGTCTTTGACTTCAATGCTGGCCGCAGTGCCGCGGTGATAGCAGAAGCCCACTCACGGCCTGTCCATCAAATTTGTCAGAATACGGTAAGTTTTTGGGTGGTACGATCATTTGTAAAATTATGAGCTTACAGTGTTTAACACAGTGGCCTGCAGCTTTTTTGGCACAGGGATCTGTTTTGTGGAAGAGTTTTTCCACAGACAGGTTTGGTGGGTTGGAGAGAGAGGTTGGGGATTATTCTACAGGGTAGGCCACCTCCTCCCTCCCATGTGCAGTTCACAGTGGAGTGTGTACTTCTGGGAGAATCTAATCTGCTGCTGATCTGATGGGAGGGGATGTGAGCAGTGGGGGTGGCTGGGAATGCCAGTGAGGCCGCCCGGCGGGCTCGCCACTTGCGTCTGTCTGTGCAGGCCTATACCTAACAGGCTGTGGACAGTTTCCTAACAGGCTGTGCAGTCTGTAGCTTAGGGGTTGGCACCTCCTGGTTTATCAGACATAAATGTCAGTTTACACCTGTTACCAAATCTGTGTTTTTATTGATCATTGAACTCTCTTAAGTCTTGCTGTCTAACTACCTAAGTCTTGCTTACTGAAGAAGATATTTGAATACCATATTACACATACATTTTTGTGCTTTTGTCTTTGATTGTAGGCCCATTTTGAGTCTGTTCTAGTGATGCCTTCCCCTCACCTGGTAAGGCCATGGCTGAGGGAAGGCAGTTGTACACATGCCTGGGATGCAGACGACCCGTGACCTAGCAGCTTGTCTTCTTGGGGGAGGATGTTGGACACAGCTGTCCCTCTTCACAGAGATGTGCTTTGAAGACATTGCTGCCGGGTAATAAAGATGGGATTATGAGGCCCTCATGGCCATTAAGGGCCAGAGAGTCTTGTTCCTAAAGGAGCATCTAAGACTTGTAAACAAAATTCTTTTTTTGTTTTTAATTTTGTTTTTTGGCTTAAAGCTATGATTTTGATATGGTCGGAAGGCTTTCCAGGTTACATGTTGTCTCAGTTACTTTTCTCTCTCATTGCTGGACAAAATACCAAACACCCAATGTTACTGAAGGGAAGGTTTATGTAGCTCACAGTTAGTGGAGGTTCTAGTCCATACTCGGCTGGCTCCAAGGCAGAGTGGCACATGGCAGAGGGCAGCAGCTCATGGCAGTGCAAAGCAGCAAAGATCCAAAGGGAGGAGCAGCAGAAGTGACAGCTATCCAGCTTCTCTTCCTTATATTGTATTCAGGCTGTCTGCCCCAGGGCGGGTGTAGCGCTCACACCCATAATCCCTGCATTGGATCATGAATTAATCACAAACTCTAGAAGGTGCTCCAGTGAGTGCATGAGGATTTGAGGGGACAACTAGGCACAAACCCTTCCACCCCTGCCCCCACGTGGACTCATGCGCATCCCTTTATGCAAATGGCATTTTAGTCCATTTCTAAGGAGTCTTTTTCTTTTTTCTTTTTTGTGGTACTGGGGATTGAACTCAGGACCCTGTACTTGCCAGGCAGGTGCTTATTCTATTAAGCTATCTCCCCAGCCCCAAATTGTTGTTTCTTTTCTTTTTGCAGTACCAGGGAATGAACTCAGGACCCTGCACTTACCAGGCAAGCGCTTATTCTACTGAGCTATCTTCTCGGTCCTTAATCCATTTCTAAGAGTTGCCAAAGTCCTGATAATTTCAGTATTGCTGAAAAGTCTGATTCCTGAGTCTCCTCTGAGATCTAAAGCAAACTCTTAGCTGTGAGCCCCTGTATAAATGAAAAGTCAAGCACTTCCAGCGTTGAAAGCCACAAGATAGGGCTGGGGAGATGGCTTAGTGGAATAAGCACTTCCCTGGCAAGTGCAAGGGCCTGAGTTCAATCCCTGGTTCTGAAAAAAAAAAAAAAAAAAAAAAAAAAAAAAAAAAAAAAAAAAAAAAAAGAAAAGAAAAGAAAAAAAGAAAAAGAAAAAAATTCACAAGATAAATATTATTATTCCAAAAGGCATAAACAACAGGATAAAAAGTACTGGGATCAAAGCAAGTCCCAAATCCAGCAGGGCAGACATTAAGTCCTGTAGTTCCATGTGGAACATCTGAAGTGATCTGTGATGAGTTGTGAGCTCCGTCTCCATGGCACTTTTGGGGTAGCTCCTACGGCTTCACTCTTAGGCCTGCTTTCTTCCCTCCTTGCAACTTTCCTTAGATGATGCACATTTCTGGCTTTTCCAAACTGCTGGAATCTCCAGTGAGCTACAGGCTTCTCACTCACAGCTTCACATACTGCTCTCTCAGACACACTGCCTGGCTTCCCAGGCCTTCTGAAATCTAGGTGGAAGCCTTCTTAACCTCAGAACTCTTGCATTCTGCATGAACCGAAAAACCAATGCCACATGGATGATGTCAAAGTCTGCTGCCAGCTGGAGCAGTAGCCAGGCTTTCTTCTCTCTTGCCTGTAGAGGTTGAATGCCTGGATTGCTGATCACCTTGACTCTGATTCTGAGGAATAAATTCTCTATGCTGTTGCCATTTTGGAACCTGGTATGGCTGCCGCCACCATTCTGTAACGTGGTGCTCTGTGGCTTTCTCCTCAAAGGAAACTCTTTCACTTTTTGTAGTTCTGAGGCTGCAAAAGGTGGAGACTCGCTGGTGCTTATGATGCTCTCAGGCTATCTTTTCTATTCTACTGTTCCTTCTTGGCAAAGGAGATCCTCTCACCTCCATCTTTGCTGTTCACAGCCTTCCTGATGCTTCCTTTCTGGCCAAACTCTCAACATTTTAAATCATCCTGCTGATTTCTGTGCTCTTGATTCTCAACAAAAATCAGACTAAACTAGCCATATCACTGCCTCAACATTCAACTGCCTTGAAATTTCTCCTGCAAGATCAATCACTGTGCTGCTCTTAATCTCAATCTCAGGCAAAATCTCTGGACATGAGCAACATGCAGACAAACTTTCTGCCAAGCCATAGCACACATTGTCTGGAGTCCAAGAGCCAATGCAGTCCTTCTTCTGAGAAGAAGCTTCCCAACCTGGTCTCCACAGGCAGGATTTCTATCAGCCTTCTGGTCTTCTGAGTGCTGACCAGAATCTCCCAAACAGAACAGCCAAAAGTGTTAGAGCTCTTCTCTTTCAGGCAGCATCTTAGAACCTTTCATGTCTCTTTCTGTAAGCCATTCCCAGAGGCCCTAGAACCATATAGTCATAGTTACAGCAACAACCCCACTTCTTGGTACCAAATTCTGGCCCTTGTTGTTGGGACAAAACACCTGATGCCCAACACTAAGGAGGGAAAGATTTATGTAGTTCACAGTTAGTGGAGGTTTCAGTCCATACTCGGCTGGCTTCAAGGCAGAGTGGCACATGGCAGAAGGCAGCAGCTCATGGCAGTGCAAAGCAGCAAAGATCCAAAAGGGAGGGGCACCAGAAGTAGCAGTTAGGCAGCTTCTCTCTCTTCCTTATATTGTATTCAGACTGTCTGCCCCAGGGCGGGTGTAGCGCTCACACCCATAATCCCTGCATTGGATCATTAATTAATCACAAACTCTAGAAACTCTCCCAGGGATTGCATGGGGCTTTGAGGGGACAACTAGGCACAAAGTATAATACAAGTTTAGTTTAAAATGCCTTCTGAAATTTTCTCTAGGATGCAGGGACTTCATTTTGTTTTCTGAGGAGTCAGGCATGTGTGAAGAGACTATCCAGTTTTCTAGGTTCACTGAAAATTTTTGCTGAATAAAGCAGCACATGTTGTGATTGAAGTCTAATGGGAATAAGATTCTTTGAGTGGAGCTATCTTATGGATTTCATTGCTGTGTGCTCTGTTGGAATATGAGTGCTGGGAAGACTGCGGAGGATGCGGAGGGGGCAGCCACTGGGGGTTCATGGCTCCATGTCTAGGAAGGGTGGCCCCACTGGTCACCCTGAGGGGTTGTGAAGAGAACAGATCCAGGGACTCTGCAGTGGACAGTGGGCAGAGTGCTGGCCAGAGGGCACCTGGAGGAGGTGCTTTGCTCCCTAGCCACTCTGTTGGCTTCTCTGCTCTCAGCGGGAAGTAGGTCTGTGAAGGCTTGTATAGGCTTCTGATCTTGGCAGCACTGTTTAAGCTTCTTCCCTCAGCAGTTTATTATCAGAATGTTTTTTATTTCATTGGAAGTTTTACTGGGTTGAGCACCATGACAAATAATAGCTGGAAGATGTGAAAGGGAGTATTACTATATTTCTGCATCTGTCTTTGTACAGTATCTTATCTTACTCATACAAAGAGAATAAACGTGATTTTAAACACTGTGCAGTGGTCCCCAGATGAATGAGGGATGCCTTTGAAGAATTATTTAACTTCTTTATGAGTCTTAAAACCGCAAACTTAAAGCCAGAGTACATGTTAGTGACGTCAGTGTAGTTGTGATGGGAAAGAACTATGATTTGTGGGAAGGACGGGCTCTTGACTTCTGGACCATGGCCATTTGTAGGTAGTTTCACAGTGCAAACTATCAGGAGTGGGTGGAGTTTCGGGTTGATTATAGACTATATATTCCTAGACCTTCAGTGAATTCCATATTAAATTAACTTTTATTATGATTACTAATCTAAACATCTTATATTTTAGATATTATGACCTGCTAATTTAAGTATGATTCAATGAGCCATGCATAGCTAATATTTGGATGCAGAAATGTTAAAGTGTAATAAGTCTGATTTGTTAAATTGTTAGTGAAACTACTGGGTTAGGCATTCATCTTTACAGCACGTGATTATAGATTAAGACTTTGCTGTCTTCCTTCTGGCCCCTGCATGCCCAGAACATGGTGTATGCTCACCAACACTTGCTGATTTGATCTATGCCTGAAGCTATGACTCTTCCCGGGAGGTCTCAGTGGGGGTCAGGGTGTGGCTCAGGGCTGAGCGTGCACTCAGCATGTTTTATGCCCACTGTTAGGTCTCAACACCAAGCCCCGAAAAGCTGTGCATCTAGATAGCAAATAGTTTATTGGAAGAATGAGCAGCCAGAGTGTGACAAGTAGGATTTAAAAGTGTTAATGTGTGATTGTTGAGACTCAATATGTGAACACTCACCTAAAGACAAATATTGCTAATATTC